AACCATGACACTTTTCAACCTGCCACCTACTTGATCCTTAGTTCTGTACTACAGTAGACATAATTACAGCACATTTTTGTGAGGACACATTGCCTCTTCTGTGCTGCCAGACCCAGTCCTCAGAGTCACAGCAGCTTGAGGGCAGGCAGAGAGTATTTTATGATCATCAGCTATTCAGTCTCTTCATCCCATTTCTGGCTTCAGAGATCTCTGCAAGGTCTTTTCTAATTAAAGATAATAATAATAATAAAATGTTTCCAATAAAATTGAAATAATTCCAGAAAGAAAACCTAAGTAATTAAAGTGACTACAAGTCACTTCATGGTATTGATGAAACCCAGTTAAATTTCTCTCCTACTCAAATACTTTTCTTTCACCCTTTCCTTGCATTTTTTGACTTGGTGACACTTTGATGAAGTAACTTGGATGAGACTAATTGCTGTTGTTTGTATTATGTTAAGATGGAACTTCAGCATAATTGCTTCTGTTGGAGTATTGTGCAGTTATATGCACTTTTTGTCTCTCCTCTTGCAAAAGAGTGTTCTTGGAATTTTAACAACCAGAAGAGATCAGAGTATATTTTTTCTATTATAGATTAGACATCCATATTAACACAATGTCCTTCATGCCATGCTAGTGCCCAGGATTGCCACTAAATACTACAAAACAGTGTAATTTGCTATCAAAAATAGCTCCTGCAGCTGCACAGATTTATCTTGGAGGTCTCTCATTCTAATCCAATGTTTGTAAGAACTGATGATGCCTCAGAGAGCCTGGTAGAGCTGCAGGCTATTACAGTACAAACAAGAGTTGCCCTGCGTTTGTAGAAATATGGCTGTTCCCTGTACCAAACATCAGTTACAATTGCATAATATTTTAAGTATGGGATAATTTTTCTGAATACCAAAGTAGGTCTGCAGAATTTCCTATGTGTGAATAATCAGATATTCTCTTGCTTTGGGGTATTTCCTTGAACAGAATTTGTCTTTTTATCAACAACTCAAAGATTTACTTTATAGGTATTTGACTTTTAAGAATGCAGATACAATACTCCTCTTCATGCACAGATTCAAATCTTGGGAATATAACAAACTGAACAAGTCACTTAAAGAATTATATTAATATGGTTAACTGCTAAGATTCAGTGCTGCTTTTCTTAACAGTGCTTTTTAACATAGCGACTGTTTTATACTTGTCTTGTACTCCATGTTTAGACAGTCATTAATCCATGCAGTTTCACTGCTGGATGCAAAGGTCTAGTACCCTTTGTGCAGAAGGAATAGATTAAGACAGACAGTTAACAGCAAATTTGTTCATGGGGATACATTCAGCAAGATATTCATCCAAATAATCTGCACTGATATTTAGGCAATATATGAATCTTGGATTCAGAAAATTAAGGTTGTTCTTTAACTAAATTTTGCCCTCATAACCCTCTTTCAGCAGATTTCCATAACAGGATTCTGGATGAACTCCAGTAAGAGCGGGAGGACAATTGTGTATGTCTGTGTCAGTCCAGTGTAATTAAGACTTCTCACATATTCTAACTAAAACTGTATTTGAGGTTCGGTGGGGAATTAAACATATATACTCTAAAATCGGGAAAATGCAAAAGAGATGTTGCCATTCAAATTTTTTATCAGAGATCAATTGTCTGCATGCAGCCACTTAAAGCCCACTGTTGACAAATACTTCAATTGCAACCAATGAGCAAAATTTGAGATCCTTATTTAAACAAAATTTGATGTAGATAGCATCTTCTTGAACTAAATCGGAAGCTTTGATTTTTGACTGTGAAACTGCAAAGGAAATCAGACCTGATTTTTACTTTAAGAAATCCCCTGAACTCTCAGATATGAAACCTGTGATACATGTGAAATACATGAAAGCATATAGGTGAAGCTTCTTATTCTGTTAGGTGTTTGGAATGGATCTGTTTTTCTCATGCTTTGCTGCGCCACAGAGAAAATCAACCTTCTTACGTAAGGAAACAATCTTAAGAGATTTATAAATTGGAATGGCCTTAAAGAGGCATTGCATGTTTGACTTCTTGTCTGCAAGCTTTAAGCTCTCAACCAAGGAGTGTAAGCTTACTTTTCCAGTAAAGGTCTGTTTACCTTTACTCTGTGCTTACTTTTCATCCATGTCCACTCACCTTTTCAAGTGAATAGGTTATAGATGGTATTCCTGAACTTAAGTTTGCTGTAATAACAACCTTGATTTTTTTCCTCCATTCCTTTCACATGCCCATAGGTTTCCTTTCACATGCCCATAGGTTTCCTTTCACCACCATTATACCACAGAAACAAGCTTCAGTATGCTCCCTGCTACCCAACCCCTACTTTACTTACTACCTGTGGCAGAGATCAAAACCCTGATCTTTGGCTCCACCTTGTGATCTCCCTGTCGAAACCAGCAAGATTAAATTAGGGAATCCTCAGTAGTGATTCCAGCACTTATTCTGATGTGTCTGCCCATATAGAAAATGAAAAAAACACCCACTGAAACAGATTCACTAGGTCAAAATACTGACCTTAGAAGCAGGGTTGGAAGAAGAAGGGTTGGAAAGTGTAACTAAATAAAAGTGGGTAACTCAAAAGTGTGAAATAATTTAAGAGAACAAAACAAGAAGTGTTTCAAGAAAGTTGGTGGGCAATCAAAGGATTATAATCTGAGTTTAAAATGTCATTTTTGTAAAGCGCCAATGCTAGAATGCATGAAATAGGACACAAAGTTACTTTCTTGTCAAATACATTGACAAAGAGAACTAATGAAAAGTGTACCCAGAATTTTGTGTTGCTGCAGGAAGGGAACCTCAATCCATCCCACTCCTACTAGTTTGATGCCAGTGCTAGCAAGGGATGCCCAGAGCCTGGAGGGGTATCACAGGTCAGCAGGAGAGCCTCTGAAGAGCAGCACAAAGGAATTCCAGCCACTCCAGCCAGTAAGTCAGCTTCATAGTGGGTCCAACTTAAATGCCTCTATGCAAACGCACATAGTATCTAGAAGAAACAAGAGCAGTTAGAGATGTGTGCACCCTGCAGAGCTATGATCTTACCAACATCGTGGAGACATGGTAGGAGGGTTTCTATAGCTGGAGTGTTAGAATAGAAGGTTACAGGCTCTTCAGATGGGAAAGATAAGAACGGGGTTGTCACCTTCTATGTCAATGAGCATCTGAGTGCATGAATCTCTCTCTTGGGATGGATAAACTGCTGACTGAGAGTTTATGGGTCAGGATTAAAGGAATGGCACAGACAGGTGACATTATAGTGGGGGTCAGGTACAGGCCACCTGACCTGAAAGACTGAGGCCCTGTATAGACAGATAGAAATGGCCTTGTTCACAAACCCTGGCCCTCACGGGGAACTTCAACCACCCCAGTGCATGTTGGAAGGTACAGAAAAATTGTGTGAGTATTACATTCAGCTTTGGTGTTTCCAACATAAGAAAGTCATGGACCTGTTTGAGTACGTCCAGAAGAGGGCCACAAACAGGCTCAAAGGGCTGGAGCACTTCTATGAAGACAGGCTGAGAGAGCTAGTGTTGCTCAACCTGAAGAAGAGAAAGCTCTGGGGAAACCTTAGAGCAGCCTACCAGTACTCAAAGGAATGGCCTACAAGAAATCTGGAGAGGGACTCTTTGCAAGGGCATGTAGTGACAGAACAAGGAGGAATGGCTTTAAATTGAAAGAACAGAGATCTAGATCAGATATAAGGAAGTTATTTCCTGTGAGGGTTGTGAGACACTGGCACAGTTTGGATGAGGCTTTGAACAACCTGGTCTAGTGGAAGGTGTTGAATGATCTTTAAGCTTCCTTTCAACCTGAACCATTCTATGATTCAATTTACTTCATAACATGGCAGTATTTTTTTTTTTTTTTGTCTGAATATTTGTCCTTCACATTTCCATGAAGACAGCTGTGATATCAGAACTGACTACATAGATAGCTCTCGGTGTCTAGCAGGACAATAATAATGAAGTCAAGCATTAATGTTAGTTTCTGCTTTGGGGGTACACAGTGTGACCAAAAAGATTTTGAAATCATTTGTACTGTTAAGGCTTGAGTGAGTACCAGTGCATAAAGCTGATAGCATAAGATGGGCCCTTGGAAAGTACTTCTCATTCATATTTCAGAGCAGTTACTGCCGTCAGTAAGGTACAGAACTGTGGAAGAAAATCTCCTCAGCAGACAAAAGGTCAGACTATAAAACTTTTGCTTTTTTCATTTTCCAAAAGAAATTCATCATATTAACTCACGAAATGTAAAAAGAATGGCTGTTTTCATATTGAGTTTCTATGAGCAATATTGCATCCCTGAATTTTTAGAGTTGAGTTATTATTATTTATGAATAATATTATTTATTTATAAAATTATTTCATGCTGATAGATTATAGAGCTAAAGATATTTTAAGTCTTTCAATCTCCAATCAACGTATTGCATGTGAAAAATGTTACCTATTGGATAGTTTATATATTTGCACTGCTGTAATAACTACCAGAAAATCCATGTACTGAAATAGAAAATGTAGCTCACATTAGCCATGTGAGCATATTCATTGTGCTTGATACTACAGTTATACATATATAGGAGTGTAGAGGAGTCTGATCGATATTTTTAGTTTTGCCAGTTTCACTATCTCATGCGCAATGACTAATTTGCAGTCAAAGCATGTTAGCGCACAGAGAAGTTTAAAATGAATGGTAAAATGTTGCTGATTTTGTAATATATAGGCAAAGTGTTGTTAATATTGTCAGAACATATTGTGTTATAAAATAAAGTGATGTATTTCCTTGGCTAGAAATTTCTTAAAGTGAGAAAAAGTAATAAGGAAGGAAAAAAAAGAAACTGAATTACAGCTTCTAAAAATTAATATTTTGAACTTCAAAAACATAGTTGAACATGGAGCTACAAAACAAATTTTAAAGTAAATTTTACCATATGCAGGAAATTATTTATAGTATGTCTTATAATTAGAAGATGAAGGGATGAAGGTATGTACTTTGTCAACAGTTATCTCTTCTTTCTTGTAGATGAAAATGCTCATTATTTTGGGATTTTCAGCAGCTATAGCCTTCACAGCTGTTTTCTTTTCTTTCCTTCAGCTAGGCAAAGATATCCTCTTTGGTAAGTAACAGAAAAAAATGCATGTTATTTTCTTTTGTCTAATACTACTGTTAAGCTAAAAATACACTAGCACTGCAGTTTAGCAATGGCAGTTTAGCTTAATCTCTTTTTATGTGCAAAATACACTATCTAACTTCTGTGAGAATTATTCCATGGGTGTTTTCTTTTAAAATGCAGCTTCATTCACAAAGGAAAAATTTGTATGTATAATGTATCTTGATTATGTATTCTTTGGGAGTGATTTTATTTTCTTAGCGACATTCATGTCAGGTGACATGTTTACAAGCATGACTGCTGGATTTCTTTCCCAGACTGCCAATCACTACGTTCAGTCATCCTGAGCTAGACTCCTTTGCTATAGGACGTCCCACCTGGCACCCTTGTGCTGGCCCACGAGAGGACAAGTTTCCTATGGGCCCTTTTCTGGCACCCTGAAGATACCAGGTTGATTTTAGAGCATCTCAGATTGCAGTAATGCCTATGTTCAAACAATGTACTCAGCATTTTAAACATGAGAGCTATTTTATTTCTATCTGCTCTATCTAAATTAGTTAGATCTAATAAATTAAAGATATAGGAGTTACTAGATAGAATTTCAATTCTTCAGAGACCCATTTTACATTAAAGGGAGAGATGAAGAAGAATCAGGATTTCAGCTTTTAGATTATCTTAAATTATATAGCTGGATATGATTCAAAAGGGATGGTGAGACGGCTCCTTAGGAAAGTTTTCACCTGAAATTAGTGTACAATCCAAATAAAATAAATTTCTATTGTAAAACAAACAAGCAAACAAAACCAACCAACCAAACAAACAAACAAAAACAATCCCCAAGCCCTTTCTTCCAATGGGAAATCTTTTTTGGACCATCACTATGAAACAGGGAATCATATTATTCAGTAGTGGATTCTTTAGTTAGAGCTTCCACATTAATTGTTTGGAAAGACATGGCCTAAAATGAAGTTATATAGTATGTTAGTTAAAACAAAATGAATGTATATGGGCTAAATAGAATGGACTAAATAAACGGAAGAGATGCACTGCATAGGTGTTTTTTTTATAGTAAGTGTCTTTTGGTCTGATGGGAACAATGCAAGATAATGTTTATGTTTATTACTGTAAGAACCACATTTTTGAGACATCGCATTGGTACCAAAATCATACTTCTTAGTAGAAAATGAAAGAGACAATGGAATTCAAGTATAGCACATAGACCTTCTTTATTAGATCAGAGTCTGAATCACTATCACATGATGAACAATACTGTGAGCATAATGTATTTCTTGGACGTAAACCTCCAAAAAATTATTAAAAATAATCCAATATTAATTTCTAAAATAATTAGCTGTCGTATGGCCTACAAGGATCAGTCTTGGTTTTTAACATAGTCCCAAAAAAGTTTTTAGATGTAACAGAAATCTGAAGTATAACATTAAACAAATCATTATCACACATAGGTGAAAAAGAGAAAAAACAGAAATAACTACTGCTATACTTAGATGCTGAAAAGATCTTTAGTAGAGTGGACTAGAATTTTGCCTACGAAAGATTACTCCTCATCACACATTATTGTCCCTTGAGCTGAGAGACCTATTCAAAAAATAAATCACAGAAATAACACAACATGAACTACAGTAAAATATGTCACCTAAAATTGCACTGTATATAAATGATGAGCAATTGCACATAAATGGTTCTTAGCGATCTATTATTATTTATGAGTCATTGTCTAAGAAAAAAATGAGTGATCCCACAAAGTACAGAAATAAACTGCTGGGCTTTAAATATGACTGATTCATTTAATATAAAGCTAGATGTACACAAAAGAGGAATGATCTGTGTTCCATGATAGGACCATGAAAAATAACACAGCTGAGCTATCATTAGGTTCACATATATCTTTCCATCAAACATATATGGAGAAATGGGAATAAGGCTTTCATGCATTTGTCAGGTCCCAGAAGGTTTTAAAGTTTGTTAATTATACCTGAAGATTGACTTGAATTCTTCATGTGGCTCAGGCCAGCTCATATTACCTGTGAGGGAGTGTCCTGCATTTAGCAGTAGCAGTCAATTTTTCTCCTTCTTGGTAGCTGGTGCAGTGTTGTGTTTTGACTTTCAGCCTGGGAACAGTGCTGATAATACCGATGTTTTCGGTTGTTGCTAAGTGATGTTTACCCTGACTAAGGACTTTGTGAAGCTCATGCTCTGCCAGGGAGGAGGGGAAGCCAGGAGGAAGCAGAGACAGGACACTTGACACAAGCTAGACAAAGAGGTGTCTTGACACAGACACTTGACACAAGCTAGACCACAGCACGTCATGCCTGGGGGGGTAACTGGGAGTTACCCGGAAGAACACGGAGTCTTCCGGGTCGGACTCGTTTCTCGGCGGGTGGTATCGTATTCTCTTCCCTTGTTATTTTCTCTTATCATTGTTGTCATTGGTGGTAGCGGTGGTGATTTGTGTTGTACATTGGTTGCTGGACTGTTCTTGTCTCAACCCGTGGGAGTTGCATTCTTTCGATTCTCCTCACCATCCCTCCAGGAGCGGAGAAGGTGAGAGCCCCCGGGGGGGGATGGACACGGGCCTCGATTCCTTCTAGCCCAGCACCACTCACTGGGAATGAGTGAACAAGCTGTCTGGCTAGGTTTAAACTGTGACAGGGAGGCTCGGATTTGTGCTATCAGTCCAAGGACATTTTAATGAAAAATCCATCTGAAACCTAACAATCTTAATTGCATATACAAAACGTTTCAGCTAGACCTGTTATGTTTGGTACTACTTAACATGTGCACAGCTGGATTTATATTGGAAAAAACAGAAGGAAAGTCTAACTTTTCAAGCCAAATAAATTAGGGAAGAATTGTTTTACTACCCATACCTGATCTTTCAGAAAGATCAGAAGCCACAACATTAGTTTCATGAACACTAAAATATGGAGATCATTTTAAAAGGGAAAAATTACACATATCTTAATATTACAAACCTGTATATGTTTTAAATGTAAATTTTTGAATAACATATTCCTCTTTCTTTTATTTTTTTCCCCTACTGAGAAGAAACTGAAGATAACTGCATTACTGAGGCTATCCAAAAGGGCTCTAGTCTAGTGGATTGTGCTGCACATTATGCACTGAAAAGGTAAAGAAAAAAAATAGTGAAGGATTTATTCAGCAAAAACCTTTCATACCAGAGAAGTTTGAGATCAGTCTGATTCTTTGAGAAAACATATGGATTATGTTTATGATCACCTGAATCAATATAACCTTGTGTGTTACCACCACATAGAATCATAGAATAGTTAGAGTTGGAAAGGACCTTAAGATCATCTAGTTCCAAGCCCCCTGCCATGGGCAGGGCCACTTCACACTAAACCTTGTCACCCAAGGCTCTGTCCAGCCTGAACTTGAACACTGCCAGGGATGGAGCAAATTGCTCCATTAATTGGACATAAATTGGACATAATTTATATATAATATAAACTAATAAATATGTCCATTAATAATATGTCCATTAAAATTGGACATAAATTGCTCTCTTAAAATGTAAGAAAAATAAGAAATATGAAAATAAACAGGAATGTTTTTCTGATCTAAGCAGCGCAGCACATTCCATTAACATGGCTCATGAAATTATAATTTTATGAACACTTTGGTTTTGAACATTAATAATCTTTTTTCTAGTGCAGAGTGAAGTGGGAGCAATTCCTATGGCATGTGTCAAACCCCTATTGCCTTAAATGGGACTGTTGAAGTGAGTTTCACATTTCTCTTTCCATCTAAACCAGAAGTAATGAAAGGATAAAGGAAAGGAAATAAAACATTTATCTTGAACTGTGGGTAGTGAACAACTTAAGGAAAGCTCCCTTGTGACTGAGTTATGCTATGAGAGTGATCTCCTTATAGGAATGAAAATGCTGCAAGATGACTAGCCAGGAGTCTAAAAAATTTAACCATTCAGCCTCAGGGATGTCTGCAATCTGTGACCATGTCTGGAAATGGAATAGACTGGAGTGTTTTTTTCTAAGCTGCAAGAGTCAGTTTAGGACTTATCTCCAAAGATGGAGACTTCACAGCCTTTCTGGGAAGCCTATTGCAGTATCTGACTACTCTCACAGTAAAAAGGATTTTTCATATATTTATTGTTTAAGTTTATGTTACAGAAGTTATCTCATCAAACCTGAGCTCCTTAACGTTAGAGGTAAGGCCAGGCTGTAAACTAACATATATAGCCACATAACTGTCTAACGAAGCCCTATTAAACCAATTGCCAGAACTAATATATATACCATATATAACTAGTCAGTGCAAGGCAGGTGCCTGGACAGTCTCTGACAGGAGACATGTCTCTATCATGAACTGCAATTCATGAACTCCTAAGTGCTGAAGCATTTGTGAATCTACCTGCAAAGACTGAGATTGTATTTGATATTAAATGTTGCATGAAAGCAAAACATACTCACTTCAATGTGTCTAGAGTAGGAGTCTTGTATTATCCTGAATAAGGTCTTCCCAGCTACTTTGTTCTGCCATCTCTGTCCATCCCAACAGTTTCTGTCTCATCCTAAGGCTTCTCACAATCTTAACACTGCGTATATGCCCCATATATTCCCTTTCTTTTCCAGAACTTTCCTTGCAGAACAAGGTCACAAAGTAGCCTTCTATTCTTTCCCAGCATACTCTTCAATCAAAATATATCTTAAAATCAGAACATATCCAACATAGAAAAATAGAGCCACAAACAAGTTCTAAAATGTTATATATTAAAAAAAAAAAAACAACCTTCTGGTTTTTTTTTTTATCTCAATTATAGAAATATCCAAGGAAGGGGACTATCAGCTCCTGCCTTGCTGCTGGCTTTCTCAAAATTTCCTGAACAAGAGAGTCAAGATATTTCCCAAGCAGCTGAAAGAATGGAAATGTCAATTCAAGTGCTGAAACAAAAGGTTTGCCAGAGGCACAAACGCTCATTGCATCCAACTGGTAAATATAGTGCACTGACACTGGCAAAAAACCCTGTTGATTTTCTGAATGTTGTCTTTTAGATTAAAGTTAGGTTAGATTCATTTTTATTTTACCATCGGCAAGAGTACATATCTTGTCTGCACTCTGGGGCAAGGATGCCCTCTCTTTTGCTCCTAAAAGCACCTCGCATAATCAGTAGTTCACATTTTTCTTTGCTAGAGAGTGGGCTGTGTTCCTATAGTTGAGGAGAGCAACACTATGCCACTGGAATCCTGTGAACTTATAATTGTATATTTATATCGCCTATAAACCAGCTTTCATGTCTGCAGTGTTTCAAGCTTCCTGTTTTCAGTGAAATATCTACCTGAGCCAGCACTTTGGGTTTAGTGCATCTGGAGCCTAGGCTCTACAGATAAAATAATACAATTTCTATCCATCTATGACATTTTCAAATAGACTTCCTCTGGACATTGATGGCCTTATTAATATCCCTTTTTCAAGAAAATACTTTCTTATTTCTAAAACTGATTTTATAATGCATTGCTGTTACACATTTATTTCCACTTTGTTTCTATTTTAAATATTGGGGTTTTCTGTTAGATAGAGAAAGCAAGAGGGGTAGTCCAAAAAATTCATTGATATATAATTGTCTAAGTAAAGTAAAGTTCTTGTTGCTATTAATTACAGATTAATTTGATGATGCCTGTTTAGTGTCTGGAAGGCTCAAAAATTCAGAAACACTGAGCTGGTTTTCTGTAATTTAATTCTGTAATTTACAGCAGCATGAACTGTATAATTATAATGTGTATTCTCTTAGTGTTATGACATTATTTTTCAAGATATGGAATCATTAGTGTTGTAGACAAATGTCAAGGTCCACAGTTTATTATATTTTTATCTTGCAGAAATGTAGCTTACTAAACTAATGGGACATCTGTAGAACTAAAAGTATACATATATGTGTGTGTGCATATATTTATATATACACAGACATTCACACACAGAGATACAATTATTTCCCTTCTGATGCAGTTTCAAAATAAAGCAGTTTATTTCAGAATTGTGGTAGGACTGGGTGACCAGTGGGGAGACAAGGGCAAGTCTTAGAATCATAGAATCATAGAATCATTAGGGTTGGAAAGGACCTTAAGATCATCAAGTTCCACCCCCCCTGCCATAGGCAGAGACACCTCACACTAAACCATATCACCCAAGGCTTCGTCCAACCTGGTCTTGAGCACTGCCAGGGATGGAGCATTCACAACCTCCCTGGGCAACCCATTCCAGTGCCTCAATACCCTAAACAGGAAAGAATTTCCTCCTTATATCCAATCTAAACTTCCCCTGTTTAAGTTTTAACCAGTTACCCCTTGTCCTATCACTACAGTCCCTAATGAAGAGTACCTCCCCAGCATCCTTGTAGCTCCCCTTCATATACTGGAAAGCTGCTATGAGGTCTCCACGCAGCCTTCTCTTCTCCAGGCTAAACAGCCCCAACTTTCTCAGCCTGTCTTCATACGGGAGGTGTTCCAGTTCCCTGATCATCCTTGTGGCCCTTCTCTGGACTTGTTCCAACAGTTCCATGTCCTTTTTATGTTGAGGACACCAGAACTGTACACAATACTCCAGGTGAGGTCTCACAAGAGCAGAGTAAAGGGGCAGGATCACCCCCTTCTACCTGATGGTCACTCTCCTTTTGATGCAGCCCAGGATACGGTTGGCTTTCTGGGCTGCAAGCACACACTGCCAGCTCATGTTCATTTTCTCATTGACCAGCAGCCCCAAGTACTTCTCCTCAGGGCTGCTCTGAATCTCTTCTCTGCCCAGTCTGTAGCTGTGCCTGGGATTGATCCAACCCAGGTGTAGGACCTTGCACTAGTTAAACTCCATGAGTTTGGCATCAGCCCACCTCACAAGCGTGTCGAGGTTCCTCTGGATGACATTCCTTCCCTCCAGCATATCAACCGAACCACACAGCTTGGTGTCATCGGCAAACTTGCTGAGGGTGCACTTAGATGCTCACACTACCATTTTCTTTCAGCATGTGATGTTTACAGTCCTTTTGAATGGCAAAAAATCTCTGAGTTCATCAAGGTTCATCTTCTTATTCTCTGCATTAGATAATAAAAACAGCTCTCTCCTTTCACCTTCTGTTTCCTCTAAGTCCCCAAGACTGCTTCCTGCAACGCTTCTCTCAAAGTCCTCTTTCCTAGGAAGCAAAGAGGGGATCCTGAAGTAGTACCTGACAATGATGCCTTTTCTCCAATAGCAGCTATATAGCAGTAGAGCAAATCGCTTATTTGGTTTCTTCTTTCAGATCTTTTATCAGCTGATCTACTTACTACAATTGCTAATATTTCTGGATGTCTGCCTTATATGTTGCCACCAAAATGTCCAGACAATTGCGTAGCTAATAAATACCGACTCATCACTGGTGCCTGCAATAACAGGTATGTAATATAAGAATTGTGCCCTGCAAACTTCTTTCTTATTCTTTAAACTCAAGAAGCGATGTTTACTTTTTCCTAGAAAAACTGGGCAGGGAGGATAACCTCAATCAGCTATATTTGGCATACATGAGGTGCTTTTGAAATCTCCCAGAGGAAGAACCACTTCATCTAAACTTTGGTACACTAACATTTGCAGACAGGCTTTCCCTATAAAGGCTTCTGATATTATGTAAGGAAATTTAAATTTAAGGAGGACTGATTCTATACAGTCTTTTTCTATAAAAATTAAACAGGCTGAATACTAACCTAGCATTTATTTTACTTCACAAGGAACAAAAAGAAAATCTCATTTTCATATTTTCCCACAACCTTAATATTTAGCAAACATGAACATAAAAATTCTGGAGAATATATTTGGTTTTATATAAATATAAATATATGCTTATTTTCTATCTGAATTACTATTATTTACTACTATTATCTACTTGTTACCTAATATATGTGGCAATTGTTTCCTGCAAAACCCAACATAACAGATGTAACTGTATTTTTAGAATCCTCTAATGCAATGGGGGTGTAAAACTGAGAAGGAGGGCAAGGAATACAAGGGTAAAAAATATTTATTCTCAGCAGGCTTTGGATACATACATGTAAGGTCACAAACTGAAAGGCAGACTGTAGTGTTTACAACTGAAAGACTACAGAGCTGTAAATGGAAAGTTGTTAGCGTTGCACAGTTTAATGCACTCTGCAACATAGTGAATGAACTACGTAAGTAAAATTATGTAGTTTTATTATTCCACCGTTCTGGCTTTATAAGATGAATCTGTTTTGCTACATCACAAGTCATTTGCAAGGAATATTCCTGATGATAGGCTCAGCTCTTTGTTGAAAGGACACAACCTGATATGCATCGACGTTATAAATCTAACTATGTGGATATCCATAATTTCCCCCAGGGACTTGCAGAGTTGCTTGGAATCTGAGCTAACAGCTAGTATAATATTTTCACTGACGGCTCCATCAGGGCTTAAATACATTGGCCAAGATTCATGCAGCTGAACACAGGCACATGTCTGAAGCTCTTAATTTGCCAGCATGGCAACTGTACTCTGTCTCTCCAGAGATGGAGAGAAATTCAATCTGCTATGGATAAGGTAAAGTTTATTTCTCTTAAATGACTCTGACAACAGTAGGATGTGAATAGGGATTTCAGCTGGGTAGGACAAATATGATGCATTGAGTCTGGTTAGTCTGTAGTCACTGTGTTCTACTTTTTATACGTTTATGCTTACACCAAATTGGTGTTTAAACCCAGCACTCATATGTGGTGACATTTCAGACTCTTTAAACACCTGTTTAAGAGTGCTTAAAGGAAAAGAAAAACAGTGAGTGTAAAACTCCATGAGCCCCTTGAAATACCTCAGGCTTTACTGAAATAAGTCAGCTTAAAAAGCCCATTATGCTTTGAGGTAAACAATATATTCTACAGTGTGAACCAGCTTCAAATACTTCAAACATTAAATGAAGTACCAGTCTGTACTTTTCCTTGCTTTACAACTGCCACTTTCAGACAGAAAACATATCAGGACTTATGCTGTAATTTTTGTCACCCAGTAGGAATGTGCAACTGTTCTGTAGATCAGCAAATACTGCAGTTTAAAACCAAAATTCACAGTGGAGTTAATTGTTTACCTATTAAAAAAGTGTATTTGAACCTATTGATCAGTTAGCATGGAAATTCTTCACAGATGTTTTACTTGGTTAGTTCACATATTTGGGACAGATCAGATAGATTACAAATTATTTATTCCACAGCTCTGAGATTGGTTTGGTTTAGTGTGAACTTCCTAGAACAAATGTGTTACAGAATAACATAAACACAGCCTTCACAGAGGATGTCAACATGACACCAGAGGTTTGCAGCAATATCATTATCCACTTTTACTAGTAACAGGTATCAAAAGATTTTACTTTTCTTTCTGCCTGAAGACATATGTGTGTATAATAAGCAAAACAAATTCACAGCATTATTTTAAAATAAGTATAAAGGAGATAGGCATGGCCAGATAGCTATTTTTCATCATTTTTTACCCCAGATAACTAGCATTGATCTGTGTAGATTTTTAGTGTGTAGTGCAATGAAAGGGGTTCAAAGGTGAAGGAGCTACAGGTGCTTAAGGAATGGAATCTCACAGTGCAATTAACCTCACCTAATCTTAGCTTTCTGAGGGGTAGTAATACGTCTACTGCAAGGCTGCAGCTTTGGCTCTTCCTAATAGTGAGAAATAGGATGGGATGACAGGATGGCTTCTAGGAGTTGTCTGTCTCTCTGCCTTGGTGGACAGGTGCTTAGATGACTAGATTACTTTTTGTATGCCTAATATTTGTGAAGCTACAACGCATTTTATCTGTGGCATTTTATCTGCAGCATTTCTATTTCACTGCTGTTCCATTAATCATTTCAGCAGGTGAGGACCTGATGCTTACTCTGAAGCTCTAGTACCATCAGAGTTAGGGGTATGAATATGGCTCATCTAGTAGAATGAATGAGCAGTCCTAGCTAAATCCATTAACTATATCATGGAATTAAGATGTTCCCTTTAGGATAGCGGCTTCAATACAAGCTGTTCGGTTTAGTAGCTGGCTTATTTTTCAGAAATCTTCCATGTTTGACAGAAGTTATGTCCATGGAAGCTCACAGACTGTAAAACATGACAATATCCATTTAATAAATTGCCATATGGCAGTCATCTTTCTACCTGAAACTAGGCAGGACATTGATTGATTGATTGATTGATTGATGGCTTGGCTTCGTGAGCAAAGATTTGGGAAGGGCTTTAACCACGTTTACTACAAGCACGATGACCAAGGGCAAGTGGGATATCCAAATCTGGTTGGAAAAAAAAAGGCTGCTTAGGCAATCAGGAAGTGTCCGACCACGACTGTCAACTCCTGAGCTAACTTGAGCTACCCATGTGCTGGTCTGCCCACATGCAATGCTGGATCTGCAGCTTCCCATGCACCTTGTCATCTACTGTTTAGACACTCACCCGTCCATACAGACAAGTGAGAGTAACCGCAGGTTCATACCCCTGGTGTGTGCACTTGACTGAGGAGCCACTGGCGCAAGTCTACCATCTGCGGGCTTATGACTGAACGCCTCTAAGAACCCGTCTAGACGCTTGTGCTATTGCGTCACTGGTTGCTTGTGATTGACCCAGGGGCAGGACATTAAAATAACATTTAAAATACGTAAGTCTGGATAGTGAAATGCATCTTAAATCTCCAGGTTCCTTCTAAGGAAGCCAAAACAAAACCCAAATTTTGCAATTCCACTTTTTCACAAGTGAATGAAAAGTCTCATTTCCCAAATACAGAATGTGTAGTAATCAAATTTGACTACTCTATAAAGCTGTATGGTACCAAAACCTCATTATTTCAGCTGCCCTAGATAAAAACCTTTTTAACTCAAGCAAGATTCCAAGACATTAACATGTTTAATGCAATAATAAAAAAGCATGTGAGAAGGGTTTTACTAAAGTAGCATTCCAATGATCTGATAAAATATAAAAGCAATCATGAGAAAAATCACTGGTTAAGCAGTTAAATTAACATTTCATTATTTTTAATTGACTGAAATAGCACTACACTGTGTGCAGTATTTTATGCAATTTCAATAAAAGCAAATCAACTGTAACTAATTTGAATGCTTTATTAAAGCATACTTCAACCTTCAAGTGTGAATTATTGTGGATAATTAAGAGTATTACTGTACCATATAGCTTGGCAAATTGAGCCACTTCAGTGTGCCAGAGATCAGTGAAGTATTAATAAAATAATTGTTCCCTCTTTAGCATCCCAATAGACATAAATGTATGTTTTAACACTCTATTTCTGCTGATTGCCTGGGAATATTTCTGGTGCTTTGTAGCTAACTTTACAATTTTAGTCAACTAGATACATTGCAAAAATTTGAGTATATCTGACTTTATAGGGCATGAGAACACTATCAGGAAATCACTGGGGCAAGTATTTCAAAGACTTCGGAAGGTAACCAACTTATAAACAGAAGATAGTAATATTTCATTAGTAATTTAATTTGTTTTCCTTTAGAGTCGAACTAATGTTGGCATACATGAAGACAGTATTCGTTACCTTTTCAAAGATTACTACATGAACATCTTATTGCAATGGAGTATTACTCTGTGGCTGATGTTTATTTTATATTAATTAGATTTATTTAATTTATATCCAGGTTTGGTTTATTTTCTTTTCTCAGGGAACATCCTAGATGGGGAGCATCCAACACAGCCTTGGCTAGGTGGCTTCCACCAGCCTATGAAGATGGGCTCAGTCAACCTCGAGGATGGGATCCCAGCATCCGATACAACGGAGTCCAGCTACCCTTGGTTAGAAAATACACCATGAGATTATTTGCACTGTGGGGTAGTGCAAGGGGGCAAAGACTGCCTTGAGGGGCAGCTCTGCCAAAAAGGAATGTGGTGGAGAGCAGATGGGGCATGAGCCTTCTGGTTTGCCCCAGATGTAGGGCAGCCAGCAGACCTGGGGAGGTGATTGTTCAGCATAGAGAAAAGGTGGTGCAGGGGGGACGTAATTACAGCCCTCCCATGCTGAAAAGGGTGTTACAGAGAAGAGGGGGGTCTTCAGAGGGGTGCACACCAACATGGCAGGAGGCAACATTCGCTAATTGCTCCAGGAGAAATTTTGTCTGATACAAGAAAAAAAATTGTTGTGAGAGTAATTAAATGTTGGAATAGGCTGCCTAGACAACTGCTGGGATATCCCTTATGGAAAATACCCAAGACCTGACTTGCTGGGGCTCTGAAAATGTAATCTCTGCTTTCAGCAGAAAGCTGCACCATGAGGTCTTCACCAGCCTAGACTTTCCAGTCATCTTATGATTGTTTTAATAATGGTGCTTTTATTCAGGGAAGGAGGATGGGCAAAACAGGGTTGGGTGTTAAATAAATATAAAGCATATAGGCATGCTAGCATGTATACCATGTACCATTGTACACATGTATACCATTTCTCCTATGTCAGTGTACCCTAACTTAACAAGTATTACTGTCAAATCATAACATATTTTTTTATGTTGATTTCACCCACATTACCAGGCTAAGAAATCATTGCAAAATTTGTGGATTTTAGCAGCTCATATACTTAAAAAGTTGGAGAGCTGCAACAGAGGAAACTTTGAACAAAAAATGTTTGCATAAAGAACTGGGTGAAAAATTCCCCACTGTAGTGTACAGTGATTTGGGCTGGATTTTCTATTTCTAGTTTGTCATCATGGCTTTAAAACCTGACTTTTAATAGACCCAGGATTTTGTTATTTTAACCACCATATATTTAATAAAGGATAAGCAAGAGAATTTAGTGTTAATGTCACCTGCAACTCATGATATTAATTAAATAACAGTGTCTCTAAGCTGCAACATTTAGCACTTAAAGATGAATGCCTGACATTTACACACATAAATTTCCAGTAGATTGTACAAGCTGTCTTTTTCTAGATTTGTTAGGGTACATACTTATGAAGTAAGACACACTAAAACAAAACTGTATGACCATACCAAATCTGATCATATCTGACCATCAGCAAAGTTCTCTGCTTTATTTTGAAGTAAGATAGAATAAAACTAGTGCAATAGATGGTTTTCCTCATTTATGTAATTGTCTTTTGTTGTACTTTTAGCTAGCCAACTATATCCTTTAAAAAGCAACATGAAAATGATAAGAAGGTGAGAGATAAGTGTGAGGATTACTATAAAGCAATATTAGAACACAGCGTAGCTGTGCAAGTTAATGGCGATAAGAAAATCTTACTAACTGCAAGAAAAAAAAGTTTGTGCTTTGTGGTCACCGAAGATATTAAGATACTGATATAAAGACTTATTCCTTATGAGGTGTGTATATCACTGCTCTTGACTATTTCAATATAAAGTCTGATGTTCCTAACAAGTCCCATATTACCTCTTGTCTCTACCAATTCTGTTTAACAGCACCTGCCTTATACATTCATTATATAGCCCTTGTATTCATTGCACGCTCTTTGGCTCTATTTTATGTGCTTTCCTCTCAGTTGCTTGACTTCTAATGCAGCTGCTGTATGCAAGGGAATATTTTGCATCATGAGGGAGGAATCTGTGAGTAATATTTCCCTAATCATTGCAAACTGACTCCTGATTTTGCTTTAATGGTTTTGTTTGGTTATTAGTATAGGCTGGACATGCAGCATAGGTGCCTTCATATGTTCCCCCTCAGAACATCTGTATCTCTATTCAGCTTTCACAGAAATGTCTCAGAAATATGTTTTGGCTTCTCCTTGCCAGGGAAAATGAAGCAGAGCTCTCAGCTACCACATATTTGCAACCCGCTTGTCCCCTGTGCTGCATAAGCTGCTCCATTTAAGTACAGAGCAGCCCAGAGCCTCTGTGTATCCACAGTGATTTGAGGTTGCCCAGCAAAGAGAATCCATTTGTTAAAGGAGCAGAAAACAGAAAAAAAAAGAAAGAAAATTTGGGCAGTCTAAAAGAAATGTGTGGTTTTCAAAATTCTCTGGAAAGGAACAGATCAAAGATACACTGCTCATTTGGAATATATAGAGAAAAACTCAGCTGAAACATCTTTGAACCTCCTTGCGGCACTGGTATCTCAGCTCCTGAACAGAAATAAGTCTGTCAGAGGTTGGGGTTATTCTCATTGTTGTTTTTTTTTCAGTTTTGTCTTTGGGCAAAGCATTAAAAGTACTCTACAATATAAAATATTCTAAGGCAAATAATAATAATAAAAATAAAAAGATAGCTTTTATCACTTTACCCTCTTTTTTGTATTTTAGCATTTTCTAAGAAGTAAATACTGCTTGGCACCCAAGGTAAATTCGTTCTTTTCCCAGGTTCGTGAAGTGACAAAAACAATCATTCACGCGTCTAATGAGGCTGTTACTGAAGATAACATGTATTCTGATATTATTATGGTATGGGGACAATACATAGACCATGACATTGCATTCACGCCCCAAAGCACAAGTAGAACCACCTTCCTAAACGGAATGGAATGCCAGACAACATGCAAAAAACAAAACCCATGTTTTCCAATAAAGGTAAGATTCTAAATTAATTTCTTCAAGATAAATTTAAGGCTTTAAAGAGGTGAGTAAAGTAAAACACATTAGTGATACACATACACTGAATTAGTTATAAAGGAAGTTGGTAGATCATCCAGAAATACTAGAGCACACAGTGGCAGAAAAATGGAAACCCAATACAGCTATTACATGAAACAGATAGATATTTAAATTGATTCGTAGAGATGACAAATCATAGCTAAGGTACTTAGTAAAATATCAAATTTTTCTACCTCTCAGGTTTATGTTGCAGAGAAACCTTTCTAGTTCCCCACAACATTATTATTCTCATTCTTTAAAGTTTTGAGTTCTATTGGAGATAATAGGGAAGTAGTCATAAATAATTCTGTTTTTAAATTACCAGCCAGATAAAGTGAAAGGGTCTTAACTTTACTCAGTGAAAGGAAAGATATTTCCAGCAGCTGATGCAAACTTTTGAAGAAAGTTATCTTTTCAACATATGTATAAAATGGTCTTCAGGGAGTTGCTGAAACTTACCTACATCACCTCTTTGCTGTGAGTGGGTGGAAAACATGAATTCAAAGCTTGTAAGAGGGTTAGAAGAAACATAAATTGGTATAAATATAGGTTCCTGTATTCTTGTCTGATTGATTTAAAGGCATACAGTATTTCACCCAAAAAAATCAGTAGCAATCAGTTGTGGTTTTTTTCCCCAGAGTGCAGCCTGTTTGTCTCATGCTACAGGAGACCCCATGCCCATTACAGCCCTTGGACTGATGCTCCTATCTCTATTCAGAGCAACCTGAATTACTTTCCTTAGGGTTCAACCTTCATTATTGACCAGTCTCTCTATCACTAAAGCCAATGTAAGGAATAAGTTCTATCAGAATAAAAAACTTTTTTCCTCTCAACAACCATAACTGATAACCATGCCACAGTCCCATTTTCTCTTAAGTGCTTCATTCCACTTCCATTAGACATAAAGAAAAATACTTGGCTAACTGCAATGTGAACCAAATCAGGTCTTATGTTGAAAGATGGCTCATACTCATTTGATAAAAGAATATAAACCATGGGGAAGGGTAAGTGAAATTAATGACTGCCTGCAATTTTACCTCAGGCAGGTAAAGCTAGTCTCTCTCACCAAGGAAATATGAACTTTTGCAAGTTTGCAAACAGAACTTCAGAGCATTCAGAAAGAGCACAGGCTTCTTAAAGAATTAGTCTCAGGACTCTCAGTGACCAGCTAACCTGATTTGGCCACAATAATCCTAATTACAATGAGTTTTCTATAGTTCTGACAAAAATCTCTAGTTTACTGTCTTAAATTTCCATCTGGGGTAAGGAAAGAATTATTCTGTTTATGCTATTAAGTAGTAGCTTTAGAAACATTCCCATTCTCAAAGTCTTACCAAGAGAGGTTAGGGCAGAAGTTCAGAATCTGACCAGCAGTGCTTCCTAAGATATGACGAAGGAGACATCATATCCATATGGCACAATATAGCTGTGTATTGACTCTTTTTTTAAAAAAGTCAGTTTGCTGTAGATATAAAACTGCAAAAGTCTTCAAAAGCTTATGTTTATATGTTAATGACGTATTCTTTGAAATGACACATTTAATATTAATCTTTATATACAAAGCCTCCACATTTTTTATTACTAAATGAATTTTTAAATTGAAAAGTCTCATACTGTTGACCATAACTTCAATCAAATGTGAATCACAGGGACCATAGAAGTCTAATCACTGAACCCTGACTAGTTCAAGCCCAGAAATCCTACCTGCTTAAAAAAGAGACAATTTAAGGGTTCTTTAATAAAGCACTCCAAGGCTAGCATTAAGGTGGAGGCATTATGGTGCAGGGAGAAAGAAGCTGCACAGATTACCATGGCTTAGGTCCAAAAGTGCATCCTTCAGTGCTCTAAACAAGGGAGCTGTGAAGAGATTCATCACAGTGTGTTTCAAGGATGTTCTTAAAGGCAAGTTATGCATACATATATGAAATTTAGCACTGAAATGTAGCCTAGGAGGCAAAGAAGGTCAAAGCATACCCATGCCTACTGCTGGGAGTTAGAGTTTCATAGTCAGAATGGCCATAGTGTGTGGATATATAAAAGTTCAGACACAACCCTGAGATTATTAGGCAAATTACCCAACTTGTGGATTCATTACATGATCACAGTCCCATGCATTTTTCAGCTCCACTTTGTGATTATTTTGTTATTCACACCTTAGAAGGACAGATGTGAACATGGTTGTTCTTTTGCTTTTATTATATGTCTAGTATTTTCTGACTTTTTTTTTTTTTTTTTTTTGGTCAAAGGCAAAGAATAGACATTGTACTTAAAGAAAGAAAGAAAAAAAAGAAAAAAAAAAAGAGAGGTTAGTTATTAGTATGACCAGAGAAACTATTTATTTAACAGTGAAACAAAACGCTGTTACCCCCTGGAACTGATCTTCTTCCTGAAATCTTAATTAAAACCAATCTCCACCTATTAAATGTTTGGAAAACTGACACAGTTAGCTTTATACATTCATTTTTTATATGAAGAAATTGTGCCTGGCTTCCAAAGAGAGTGAAATCAATAACATATTATCCACAATGTAAACACAGAGGCTCCAGTTTGCACTCTTGCTGTGTTCCTAGAACAGTGGCACCCAAGAGACAACCCACCCATGGAGAAGGACAGCTGTGCTTACAGCTGTATGCCCTCTCGGCCAGTTTCACCAAGGAGAGGAAGCTCCTGAGTATTCAGGTTAGGGAAGCTGTGTGGAAAATGTTCTGAGTCAGTGCAATTCAATGAAGGAATGAAAATTGTGGTTGTGCATTAATATCAATAATAAGTGTAGGTAAATGATTAATAGGTTAGCCGGAACAATTATGATTTTCTATTCTGAACATTTTCAAGGTAAAAGCTATAAAATTTCACTCAGTGGTTCTCACATCAAGCCTGTAGCTTCTGGTAGAGCTTTAACATTCTTTATCTTTTCAGAATCACATAATGTAAAAAATAAAAAAAAAAAAAAAAATCACTAGCTTTAGTTTATACTTCTTTTGCAGCAGCCTGACACATGAAACAGGGTTGTGGAGATAACCTGTCATTCCCCAGATGATTACATTGGGTCAGAGCTGAGACATAATAAAGCATTATAAAAACTTTCATAGGAGAGCTACTGACTTCATTCACTACTAATTACATTGCTGACTATAAGTTAGACACAGCGCATACACTTAGTAAGATACAATCCTGAAAAGCTTACAGACAGTTCAGGTAAAAAAAGGTGGAAAAGAAAAAGGGCTACAAAAAAGTGAGGTGATTTGTGAAAGGTGACATGTAACAAGACAGGTTACTGTCTCAGCTGCAAATGGATCACTGTGTGTGCCAACCAACCAGCAAGGTGAGCCCCTGCCTTTTTCTTATGTTTCACAAGAAGCAGTTCACTGTCAGATGGGGTCATTCACTCTCTTCCTAGCTTCATGTCCACAAATAAAGATTTGTGTTTTCCTTACTGGCAAACTTTCATAAACCATAAGCTACATTTTCTTTAAACTCTACAGCAAAAGTCCTTTGACAAGGTCATTTCCTGTAGAACAAGTTCACAATAAGTCAGATTTTTCTTCAACTGAAATAACAGTTCAGACATTGTGGTACACTGAAACAATTAGTGCCTATCATTGTTCTACACATAAAAGACTTCCACCATATGCAGGTTTGACTGTGCACATATAACAACAGGTTAATTCAGTGTGCAGCTAAACTAGGAAAACTGTTGTGTCCAAAGAGAGTTTTACTGCGACATTTTTTCCTCTAGAATTATGCAAGTCAAAGAAAGGAGTCATATGATTATTTTTTTTTAATCAATATTATTCATTAGGTTGGGGGAGGTGAGGGGGGAAGTGATTCTGTACCCATTTCAGCAGAAAGGGATCTTTTTTTTCTCACATTATTTTTTATGTCATTTGAACAATAATAATATGAGGAACCTCTCATCTGCCCATTCAGCTGCTGGCTGCACACTACTTATTCCATGAAAAGGGAAAGAACTGCATTATGCAGGTCTCTTAATGTTCATTACTGCTGTTTTTCTCCACTGTGACACAGAATGGTTTGAACTGAAATTGCAGAGACAGTTAACTAAAAATTATTCAGTATGAACTTCATTCACTGCTGATATGTTTTGCTGTGAACCTTGCTGTTTAACAACTTAAAGGTGTCTCATACATTTTTTTCCCAATGATACCTGAATTCACAGTATCACGGTATCACAGTATGCTAGAGATTGGAAGGGACCTCGAAAGATCATCTAGTCCAATCCCCCTGCCAGAGCAGGAACACCTAGATAAGGTTACACAGGAATGTGTCCAGGCGGGTTTTGAATGTCTCCAGGGAAGGAGACTCCACAACCTCCCTGGGCAGCCTGTTCCAGTGTTCTGCCACCCTCACTGAGAAGAAGTTTCTTCTCAAGTTTAAGTGGAACCTCTTGTGTTCCAGTTTGTACCCAGACTTCACTGGTAACTAGGAGCTGGAGGCAAATACGTACAGTCCTGTGGCTGTCTAGTACAGGTATTTGTTGTATGAGATGAGCTTCCTGCTTACTTTACCATCTGAAGGGAAAAGAAGCCACACTAATAGCAAGAGATTTAATAAGAAAGACAAATGTTAAATAGAAAACACAAGGCAGAGAAATTAGTGATTTCAGCAATCAGTGAAAGGAAGGAAAAAAGTTGCATATTTCCTTCAAAAATAACCAATTTTGATTTGCCCAAACCTAGGCAGTGAATAAATATTGGAAGAATTTCTTCCCCAAACAAAATTAAAAAACAAATTAAACGCTTTCTTAAATGCTTCATTGGTATCAATCCCTACTGACATGAGTTTTCAGTAGTAAGAAAATTTTACTTGATATAATAAATGAGTTTAAGATGTTATTGTATGAAGCTCTTGAATGCCATTCCAAAGATTCCTTGTTACTTTTAACCCCAATTTAATGACTTCTATCTTCACAGACTGATCTTTACGTTATTTACAAGAATGAAGAAGAAATTGCACAATTTTTTTTCTAACGTATGCAGTATTTGCTGTCTTTTCTCAAAGAGATTCAAAAAATTAAAATCAAGCAAAGATAATAAAAAGGGTTATCTCAGGTGTCTGTACAAAATATTTATTTTCTCTTAGTTAAATTTTTGAAGATATTTTTTTTCTGGGATATTTCAGCAGCTTTGTTAAGTGTTATCTGATGAATTGATAAGAAAACCCTAGATTTATATTCCTTGAAACTCATACTCATGATTGTTATCACCTTTTTAATTGAGGTTAATCTTTTTTAAACTCTTGGAACTGACAGGCAGTTATGGCTCATTGACAGAGTAAATGTTTTGGTTTTCATTTGTCTTTGCTTTAAAAGGTTGAATCATCTCTGCTTAGATCTGAAAGAAAACAATCTCTACAAGTTTAGAATATGTCATTCCAGTAGTTGAGATCTGAACAACTGAAAAGAAATGATGAAAATATTTAGACAAGATTTAATTTAACATGCACAACTGTTATTTTCATGTCAGAAAATATTCTTTTTTTTTTCAATGCAGGTGACCACCAATGATACATTATCCACAGGGATGGATTGCCTGCCCTTCTACCGCTCATCTGCTGCATGTGGCACTGGTGATCACAGTATTCTCTTTGGAAATCTGTCAGCACTAAATCCAAGACAACAGATCAATGGCTTAACTTCTTTCCTTGATGCTTCTACTGTTTATGGCAGTACCCCTGCTGCTGAAAACAAACTGAGGAATTTAACAAGCAAAGAAGGCCTTCTTAAAGTAAATGATAAATATTACGATAACCATCGGGAATACCTGCCTTTTACAGACCACATCCCATCACCTTGTGCACAAGATTTGAATGCAAGTGAAGGTGAGAGGATTGAATGCTTTATGGCTGGGGACAGCCGCTCCAGTGAGGTCACATCGCTGGCAGCTATGCACACACTATGGCTGAGAGAGCACAACCGCATGGCCCGAGCCCTCAAAAACATCAATGGTCACTGGAGTGCTGAGACAGTGTACCAAGAAGCACGAAAAATTATTGGTGCTCTGCATCAGGTTAGCTGCTTATTTGCTTATCTGTTTGCTTATCTACAAATTGAAGTAAATACCAGAGCTGATATCAAAACAGAATTGATGAGAAAACTTCAAACATGTATCTGTGGGGGACTTTCGATATCATGAAACCTTTTCTTTGCCACCTATTTCTCTGCTTCGAATTTTGACGTTTGCTCTGTTTCTCACTTTCCTGAATGCAACATCCTGGTCCTTAGTGTGGCCAGACCTCTCAGTGTTCTGATTTTCATGGCAGTTTCTATTCTGCTGCATCTTTTTTCCGGCTTCTCAGATGTCTATTTGCCTTTTGAAGAAGCCTTTTCAGATGCATTTCTTTACAGGTTGTTTGGGTGGTTTTTTTTTAGTAAAGGAAAGAATTAAAAGTAATGTCTCTGTATTTACATTGAGTTCAAAATGCTTACTTTCTCATACATATTATATAAATTAATAACTTCCCTCCATAAAAATGCCTGTGAAGTTCTCAATAAAGCATTAATGAATAAACTTCAAGGGCTACTCTTGATAGGAGATATAAATATGGGAAAATACTGAAGAAAAGAGACCATATAAATATTTATATTAGACCCAAAATTAGAAAATTCTATTTCTACACAGCATATGACTATTTTATTTTATTTATTTTATGTTATTTTATTATTTTATTTTATTTTCCCTCCTGAATTAGCTGTGCAGGCTTTAACTTAGAATCACAGAACTTATTTTTTTCCTCTCAGTACTTGTATTCAGTGTGGGAGGACACACGTGTACACAGCAGGCCACACCAACCCTCACACACCAAAGGCAGAACCTTTGCTGGTTCTCACATAAAATGAATGGCACAGCTTGTCTCACATCTGGGAAAGTGTTGGCCCACAAGGACTCCTACACCTGCAGGCAATAGCCTCTTCAGCTTTCTTGAGGTTCAGAGGATAGTTTCTTTCACTGGCTTATCTTGGCGGGTTTCACACCTGGGATTTGACTGGTCTCACTGGTGGCCTTGGGGAATGGACAATCCCATGAGCCCCCTTTTAGATGGTTTGGTTACTCAAGTTGCTCTGCCTGATGCTGCTCCTCCAAGCCTCACCGGGGCCTTTGCGTTTATGGAGATTTGCCTTTAATTAGACAACCTAAAACACAGCAATTCAGTCTGTCTGTTATAATCCATAACAACAGATGAGCAATGCTCAGAATAAACTGAAGGCTAGGGGACTTATCTATGGTTTCTGATACTTCTAAATTATTTTTTTTAAGAGACGTTTTTTAAGATAAATTGGGGAAGGAGGGAAGAAAATGTCACTGTTCCGATAAAACAATTTTCCTTTCTTCTGCCGCAATTTTTGTCAGTAGAATACGTAGAATATTTCCTTTAAGAAATCACCTATATTCTCCGCCATGTTGTTATTTTCACTTACAGATAGATAAGTAGATAGAAAAGTAGCATACTTTATTTAACTGTATTTAGTCAGTCCTTTTGAAAAGCTTGACTTTTATATATATATAAACATATATACATATATTTATTTTGTTTACATTAACCATGTCTGCTCCTTTTCTGTAAAACTGCTGTTTACATTAAAATAATGGCACTGACAAGTCAGAAGGGTTGTTAATACTTGTTAGTACAAATCCAAAAGTGAGTCTCTGAGAATTCATACACCTCTGATTTATGTCCACTAACATGGCTTGAAAGAAATCATATTGTGCAAGGCAATCCACTACATGAATCAGGGCTACTCGTTATTTCTGTAAGTATCACAGGCTAATGAGATTTGCCTATGGCTCATTAGATACCCATTTGAGTTATATCTAGCTGGCTTATTATCATTCAAGGGAGATAATTGGAGTATCTCTATTAATATGGTATGTTAACCAACACACTAATGACAGCTCTAGTTGAAGTTACCTTTATATTTCTCCTATAACATTTTGTCTCAGTTGCTGCACATTTCTAAAATTCTCTCTGTTTGGAATGAATACTTTCAAACATAATTTTTGCTTGTGGCTGTGTAATTATAGAGAGTTGAACAAAAAGCCTTCCCTTCATTCCAGAAGAATTTAAAAAAATCTCTCTAGGCATACTGTTCTTCCTGGAAGATTTTTGGCACCATAAATATCTCTAGTGCCAAGCATTTAATAATAGAAACTTGACAAAGTTACCAAACATCACAAATGCCTGTTGATATCCTGCAGAAAACAGATTTTTTTTATTGCATTGTGGACATGTTTCACTGATAAGTAGTAGTTTTTATAACCCACAACAGTGGTTAACTCTCCCCTTGTATTTTATGGGAATGATACATGCTTAACTCAAAAGTATTAACACTGCAGTACACAGTGTAAAAATGCACACCCTGATCTACCTCATGTTTTGTGCAAAAAGACATTTTTTCGTTGTTGTTTACTAACTGAAATTACACCATCTGCTTGATTTGCTTATTCCTGTTTTGACAGGTTAAGTAAAATTAGGATTCCTCCTTTTAAGCTATTTGAAAGAAAATAGCTTACATTTGCTTCCCTTAAAAAAAAAAAAAAAGTGTATATGAAACAGAAAAAAAAAGGTTAATAGTCCAGCTGCTGCAGTCTTAACATTAGTACTTTGTACATGATGATTTGCAGAATGAAATTGCATGCACACGTGCTCTTCCTTCCAGAGACTGTTTCCCTGATGGGCCATTTGGATTATGAAAGCTGAATGATATGGCACTAGTCAAAGTGAAACAGAAATTTTGCAGATCAATCTAAATCAAATTCTCTTTGATTTATCACAGCATCAGGGAACCATCTCTTAATTAATGGAGTTGCTACCAGTTGATCTCAATTACAGCTGGCAACTGCCTTTATTTTTTGTGTGTGGATAGGTGTTTTTTTAATTTCCTTCTACATTTGCTTGTGTTCTCTGAGTATCTTTCATTCTATTTCTCTGCCATTGTCCTAGGTGTGGGTTGAAAATAAGTGTCCTCTGAGGCTGACATATGTTAACTACAATTATTGGGCTCAGCATGGCTTACTTAGATGAAACTTGTTGTGAAATCAGAATACTAGATACTTCCTCAGAGTTTAAACTCTATGAAATTATAAAGGATAAATAGATAAACTATAGATGTTATAAAAGAGTATGCGTTGCACAATATGATAACTCATGTTTGTAGAGTATCACATTGTAGATGTAGTACATTATAGAGTGGTACAGACTACTAATAGAACTATAATGTGATCATTTTTTATTAAAACTTGAGGTCTCATATAATCAACCTTTACATAAAAGTTTAGGACTTAAATAGTTACAGTGAGAACTTCAAAACAACTGTGTGTAACACTTTAATGAATTAAATATCATTGTTATGTTTTGGTTTCCTCTTTCTGTGATCTTTCCCAAGTGGAGGAGCTTCATTCAATTGGTTCTTCGCTACCTCAGTGAGATACTATTCTTTTGCATGGAATTGAGATACTATTCCTTCCTCTGGCCAATGGCAAAAATGAGTTTCACTTTTGGTCACTTATTTTTATGGTATTTCGTGTGTTTTTACGTGGTCTCTTCCAGCCTTTAGTTTTCAGTTTTCCATCGACTGTGCCCCATTCACACTTTTTAAAATACTAGAGGGGTTTTGACAAGGACAAGATAAGACTGCTGAACCTTATGAAAAGAGATATGAATTTCTGTATTTTTTGCACCAAATTTGAAATAACTTTTCACATGAACAAGAAATTCTCAAAAATAATCTGAAATTACGCAACCTATTTCCAAATATCTGATGTATGGCTGACTTCTGCTGGAAGAGGCTCAGCCTGGAAGCAAACCCAGCCAGGGTGCTTGCTGGGTTCATAAGGACACTTGGGAATCCCTCCTGTAATTTTGCCTTCTAAATCAGAGGGAAGTTGCACTTCAGGCTAATAGCCTGTTTAACTTGGGAGTATTACGTCCCATATGAAGATAGGCTGAGAAAGTTGGGGCTGTTCAGCCTGGAGAAGAGCAGGCTGCGTGGAGACCTCATAGCAGCCTTCTCGTGTCTGAAGGGGGCCTACAAGGATGCTGGGGAGGGACTCTTCATTAGGGACTGTAGTGATAGGACAAGGGGCAACAGGTTAAAACTTAAACAGGGGAAGTTTAGATTGGATATAAGGAGGAAGTTTTTTACTGTGAGGGTGATGAGGCACTGGACTGGGTTGCTCCATCCCTGGCAGTGTTCAAGGCCAGGCTGGACAGAGCCTTGGGTGGCATGGTTTAGTGTGAGGTGTCCTTGCCCATGGCAGGGGGCTTGGCACTAGATGATCTTAAGGTTCTTTCCAACCCTAACTAAGAATAGTTGATTCTATGATTACTGTGTTTGCAGGTCAGGGTTCAATTACTTTCTTATAAACAGTGTACACGTGACTTATATGACATAAAATCTGTACAGAACCTTTTCTGACAGTAATCACTCAGATTCTGTCCCTGCCTGGGTACTTACCAAGTAATCAGATGAATTGCCAGGAAATCAGAATTTTATTTTCTCTGATATGACTAACTGAATATCATTTAAATCTTAATCACTCTGTTACTATCTGGTCATATATGCTGCTAAAGTAATTTAAACAGTAAGCATGTAAGCTTCCTTTTGAAAGACAGAACCCATTTATCATCGTTTTCATGGAATTATACCACTGAAACAATTACTGCCCGGAGACAGTAGAAATATTGACATTATTGATTAAAATTAATTTCTTCATGAGGCTTCTACAGAGCTTGGAGTTGATGCTATGGTGTGCGGAACATACTCTAAGAGAAGCTTGGATTACAAACAATATCTTAAACGCCACCTTGGGCGTTTTTATTTACAATGAAACAAAAAATTCCAGTCATATCAGGATGTTTGTGTCTATGGCTAATCTAGTTCTATTTAGTCTTTGCTTGTTAAAACTAGCTCTGAATCTAAAACTAGAAAGAACTCTCATCTTGCAAAACCTTTGTGAATGTAGAAAAACATTAACTTCTCAAATGATAGTGTCAGTTTAAATTTCTAGCAATTATTTTCTTCATATGCTGCATTAAAGAAGCCGTAAAAAGAATTCTAACCTATTGTCTTCTAATGTTTTTTTTCACTGCATGGCCTGACCTGAAAACATAAAGAGGTTTTTACCTCTGCCTTCTAAAAAAAGTGAGCAAATTCTTGAGAGGTTTGCTTGTCTCTTTGCTGTGCCTAAAAATAAAGATACAAGTTTTTCATAACGTCATTTTATGCCAACTGGTTTTTCAATATGCACCATATCAAGCTCAAAACACATTTGTCTGCACATTTTATTGCATATTATGTAGAATCTATAAGGTATTTTATTGAGTTCAATATGTTTTGTATTCATCCCATTACACTTCATTGAGTTCAGCCATGAATTTATTGAGTTTTGTCATGATTACTCACATGATTTTTTCATGCAACTGTAATACTGTTACCTTACAAAATTGTTTGACAGAAAGTGTTTATCAGCATTTTCAATTTTGAAGTGTGTTTTTTAGGAATTTATAAATTGGCTTGAGTTTAGCGTAAGAGGTCCATCAAGGGATTCTGGGCACCATAATTTTAAAGCCTGATCATTTCAAATATTTAGCAAAAAGGATCTGAGTCAGAAATATATATCTTAAAATCAAATTTCTTCATATCTACAATCATTTTTGAAAGACTTTATAGTAATTCATGATTTCTTTGCCATTTTAAAGGGCATTACAATTTATACAATCAAAGCTTTAAATCTCAGCACACTTCCTGTGAGCTGGATTACCCTCATGTATTCTAAGTAGCAACACTTGGTCTACCGTTTATGCTAAGAGCTAACAGAGGCCTGATTGCTGCACTATACTGAGCTGTGCCACTGATTCTTTTCTGTCATTTGTCTCCTTATTACAAAAATAAGACTGACATTTTTTGCCAGTTTATACTGCTCTTAGTCATGCCAAATGCTTGTGCATAGATGAGTGAAGAAAAAGGCATTAGTCATTGCTATTCATCTATAAAGCCACTGTATGATATATGTTTCTTTTTTCTTTTCTTTCAGATTATTACTTTAAGAGATTACATTCCCAAAATCATTGGTCCAGATGCTTTTAATATGTATATTGGCCCTTATACAGGTTATGATCCCACATTGAATCCTACAGTTTCCAATGTATTTTCAACAGCTGCCTTTCGTTTTGGTCATGCAACGATCCAACCAATCGTAAGGCGATTGAATGCACAGTATTTAGATGATCCAGAATTCCCAAATCTTCATTTGCATGAAGTTTTCTTTAGTCCTTGGAGGCTCATTAAAGAAGGTATGGTTTTATTTAAAATGTCTTTGGCTTTTTTTTCCAGAATATTGTAATTTTTTTAAAGTTACTTATCTTGAATTAAGAATAAGGACATTTATTTAATTGCATCATTTATTTAAATTGTTGAATGGCTTCCAGATTACTAACATGAACTGGAATGATTATTCTGAGTTAAATAGTTGTCTGAATCAGACGACAGTTACTCTCCAGATTAAACCAGTCTGGCAGAATGACAATATACTGGTGATTGATGATGAAGATATTTTTTTTTTTGTGGATTATTTTATTATCAGATTGCAAATTTTCTTACACATGAAGAAGAAAAATGGAGCCTTTTCATATCACCAGTACTTCTATTTCAACCTGAAAGAGATTTTTCATATGTTTGAATGTAAAAGCCGTGTGACCAATGTTTAAAAACCATGGAGACATATATGCATTCACATGTGTTAAGAAAGTTATAATGGTTTATATATATGATGTAATGTTATATTACTTTTATGTTTAAAGGAGGCTTGGATCCTTTACTAAGGGGTCTTCTAGCACATTCAGCAAAACTGCAGGTGCAAGATCAACTGCTGAATGAGGAGTTAACAGAAAAACTGTTTGTGTTGTCCAATAATGGTTCACTCGATTTATCATCATTAAATTTACAGCGTGGCCGTGATCATGGACTCCCAGGTCTATTGATTTTTCTTGAATTTTCTTCCAACTGGTAACAGAATTGTAACTGTTTATATTTGGGATGTAATCCTAAGGTTTTAAATAATAGTTTTGGTAATCAGAAAAATAACTTCAGTCTCTTTTTAAATATAAGTTGATAATATTCTTAACTTTTATGAAAACAAAATTTTCCACAGCATTTGAAATTAATCTGTTAAACCTGGAATCTAGAAGGACAGACATTACTAGTGAGTGGACCTAGGTGTGCTCACTGTAGGTACCTGAGACTTATTCTTGCTGGAAGCAGCTCCAGAGGAGTGGGGTTTCTGCCTGCAGGAGCTACTTGCCATCAGTAGACTGCCCCCAGCCTGTGGGACAGGACAACTTAGACACAACCTCATTGGCTCTACCAACCATAGGAGGTGTTGAGATGTCTCCATGTAGTGTATGTGGTGTACATGCGGTGTGTATGTGGTGTACATGCGGTGTACATGTGGTGTAGATGGCTGAGTTAGGTGTACACCTCATTTTAAGTAACATTACATATTTGTGCTGACTTTTTCACTAATTTATTTACTACAGTCAGCCCAGGAGGAGACTGAGCTAACAGTCAAGTATCATTAGCTCATCAAGCCATGGGTGTACTAGCTTAGAGGAAGACTGCTGGCGTTTAGTTTAATTTGATTGCAACGGCTGTTGAAAACATACAGTAGGTTCCCAGCTCTGTGTGCTTTTGAGAACAGAAGCAGCAACCCTCATCATGGCAATTGGGGACTTTTTATTTTTAAAGGTGCCCTGCCCTGCTGCCTGAGCAGGTCACTGTTCTGCATGATTAAGAAACAAACATAGCCTGCTCTTCTATTCTTTGAGCCCGACATGTTAGTAATGAAGGTAGGACTGGCTGATTGTCAAATGGCATTATGTTTCTGGGTGACAACCCTCTTCATTTCTCCTGTATGACTCCACAGCTAAGAATACAAATGTTGTTGGCCCTGGACAGTAGAAATGAAGTCTGACTCTGCCTTGGAGTTTAAAGTTCTTGGCTATACAAGGGTAGAAATGGAGGCTTGATGTCCCAGACCAGAAGTTAAAGTTTTGTTGGAATGTCAGGGACTTTAATTGCAATGATGTAAAAGGAAGTAAAAGAAATCAATTTTCCAGATAGCTGGACATGTGCCCTGGAATGTGATACGGCTTAGTAGAGTGCTTTAGTTACTAACTTCATTCAAGTTATTTCCTGCCCACTCTCATCTAACTCCTGTATTCCTACTCTGGAAATCTCAAGACATAGTGCATGCTCCTGTTATCTATTATCATGTTTTCATTACTTAAATATAGGAGAATTGTTTTAAGCTTTTGTTTACCTTCACGAGAATGATGCAGCAATTCACCCTCTAGTTTCAGATCCTGCCATCATTTCCCTGATCAATTTAACCAATAATAATAGTCCTATTTTTAGACATAAATGCCTGTGACTATGGTTAGGGTTGTCAGAATTCAGTGCTTCTAAATTTATTAATTTTATATATCATGCTTAACAGTCAACTCTAATCTTCTTTTCCACAAAATGTTTACAGGTTATAATGACTGGCGAGAATTCTGTGGTTTACCAAAACTGGAAACTCACACTGACTTGAATACAGTAATAACCAATCGAAATGTCACTGAAAAAATCATGGAATTGTACCACAATCCTAGCAATATTGATGTTTGGCTTGGTGGTCTTGTAGAAGACTTTCTTCCAGGTGCTAGAACTGGTCCCCTGTTTGCGTGTATAATTGGAAAGCAAATGAAAGCACTAAGGGATGGTGACCGGTGAGTTTATTCATGCTGTGGAAGCATTTGTGTAAAAAACGCAGAAGCAATGGAGATTTTACAGATATTTGAGGACATTCCCAGAGCGTAAGACAAAATATCTTTAAAAAAAAATGTTTCCTGCAGCTTCCACATTTTTATCTTAGCTCCTTCAGTTTTGTTGGGTGAACTTCTGCTTATTCTTCTTCAGTCTGTGTATAGTCTCAACTGCAGATGATGTGGAGATTTTTTCTGTACTACTAAGGTGTCCAACTTTGCACTCCAAGTGGAAATGCAAGTTGCCACCAGCAATTAATTGTGGCAGGGGCAGCTAACTTCTGTGTGGATGGATATACTACTGTGCAGCCATTAACTATCCAGTCCCTGAGGCCTACACTGGACTCAGGAATTAGAAGAACCTAGACATTTTCCATGGCAACCAAAGCAAAGTCAGACAGGATAGGCAAGGAGCTGTAATTCAGGCATCCTAGAGGGAATAATAAAAGCACCATGAACCTGTTCTTATGTGAACTAGGACTGCAGAGTTCTCCCAGAATTGCCTCACTGGACACAGCATAGAATGTCCTTTCACCTAACCCTGCACTACCACCACCAGGATCCTGTGCCAGTACAACCCTCCACCCCAGGAAGGAAGGAGAAATGCAGCTTCAGTCACAAAGGGATACAAGATGCAGTTTATATCTTGCTTCTGCTCCTGAAGCTATTATAAAACCAGCTCTTTTTCATTTCCAGCATGTACTTGTGCATTAATTTTGAATCTCAGGAGAAGACTAATTTTAAACTGCTCACACCATGCTAGCAGTGGTATTTTAAGTACATCTGGTCCTCACGCTCACCTTTAAGCTCCTCTCATAAGTCACTATTGTAGAAAGAAATCATTACGTAAATAAGCATCAGAGGCAGAATTTAAATCTGAACTTTAAAGAATGTTAATTAATTAGCTCACAGGAAAAAGCGATGTTAATCATAAAGGTGGTATCTTATTAGCATAAACTGGATAGACAACAAACATTCCACTCAGCTGTGTTAAAAATGCAGTTGAAAGTCCTCTGAATTGTATACTTGGCATATTTGACCCTATCTGGGGAACAATAATCTACCAAGGTCCTTTCAAGCCTTACTTCCATAATTCTGTGCCTTTACTATTCAAGGTCCTTCCAAGCCTTACTTCCATTATTCTATGCCTTATGACACTACTTATTATTCATTGTCTTATAATACAACTAGCATTAATTAAACAAGTATAATTTAATACATTATCTCCAAACTGAGAAAAAGAGAAGTCTAGTAATAAAATAATTCCCCAAGTTTCTGTCATAAAGTTTGTGTCAGCTAATTTAAATGTAAAGTGGTATTCTGTTATTAATACTAAAGGAACCAAGAGAAGTTAGAAGTGTGGAACAACATGTTATAGCTGTCACACAGTAGGTTCAAGAATGGAAAAGTCTGGCATTCATTGCAGTGCCTTGTCTGATACAGTATTATCTACATCTGCACCAGTAAATTACATGCTTACTAGGTACGTTAATTGACATGTCAGTAAGTATGGATTTCAAAACATGTCTTCTAATGTACTTGTTTAAGTCTAGAAACCAGGACTAAGTGGATTTTTGACTGACTGAACTCCATTCTGATAGACTTAAAATCTTTTGTCAGTAACCTGACAGAACATGAAGGGATTTATTTTTCCAATGTACTAAGCTTAGGCACTGTCTTAATCTCAACCAAATCACCTGGAACAAATTGTTTCTGTTCCATCAGTCTGGATTTTCTTTTTCTATCTCTTTCCACTCTGAATCATTGTGTGACCTCAGGATTTGCAATAGCTGGGCAAAAATTCTGGAACTGACTTTGTCACTCCAGAATAGGGAAGCTTGATCCTCTTCTTTTTTTCTCTTTCATTTTTTTACTTTAACACTGTAAAATTCACCTGATACAGATCAATCAGAACAACCTTTGCTAGAGTAAAGACCTATCCGATGGGTAGATTAAAAATAATTTTCTGCTCAAGACTTCTCAGCAGTGTATATAAAACTGAATTTTGTAGAATAGGTTTTAATGCACATGGAAATGACAGGCATAAGAGAGATGAGTGGAGCCAAGTTTTTAATAGCTTTGGTTATGGGAAAGGGTCTGGGAACAGTCAGTGAGGTTCCAGGATGTTCTGAGAAGTCTGGACAGCATGTGCAAGTGAGGTATAGCAGGAAGACATCTTTCTTTTTTACCTCTCTTCAGCCCTTCCATCTCTCCTGCTTTTCTTGTCAAAGTCCTGCCGAGGTGTGGGACATTCACTCCATCCCTGTTTCTTTAGATTTCCTCTCCCTCCACTATAGGCAAAATGGGACAGGTTTCTCCCCAGATTGTCCTGCTGTAGGTAACTATTTGCCTACAGTTTTTCAAAATTTTCCATCCACTTGCCTTAGTTAACTGATACACTCCTCTTGGCAGTAGGATCCATTTTGACCTGAAAAGCCCCTCCAGGGCACACCAGAAGCCCTCATGTTGCCCAGAACACAAGCACGACTATCAGACTTTCCATTTGCTTAGAACCATATCAGATATCTCATAAAAAACCTAACACACTTCACACATGCCAAGTTTACACAGAGTCCACAGTCAAAAGTGCTGTTTGCTTCTGATCAGAAAAAATTAAACACAAAATCCACAGGCTTTTTTAGAAACTCCAGCCATATTACCCCAGGACTATGGACTGCCGAGTCTTGTGTTAAATATTCAGTCAATTTGTACAATGTGAACACATCCATACTCTACTGCTAATAGTCCTATGACATGTTACCACAAATCCTGCCTAGAATTTGGGAAAATCCTAATTGGCCTGAGTACCACAGGGAACTATCTTAGCATTTTAGCAGTGCTTAACGCTGTTTAATGTACTAATGCATATATGCTATCAGATTCTCCAGAAATACTATTTTGCCATTCGTTACATGTCATGATAATGTTTATCTTCTCTTTTTTCTCCCAGTGTTTTCTTTCCTGTTGCTTTTATTTTTAAACACATATCCATTTGTGTGTGCACACACGAATATTATATGTAATATAACAGATACACCTTGGTAGCACTAACTCATTCTTCTGCTCTGGCACTGCACTCCCAATCTGACAACATGGAAAAAGTAGCTCCTTTCTGTTCCAGCCAGTCCTCCTAGCTTACTTTTTTTGTATGATCAAAAGCACAATTACTGTCTTACAATTTTCTGCTATAATTAATCTGCATATCTAAAGCTTTTTTAGCAATTAAGAACTCCATATTAAACAGAGGAGTATTCAGCAATTCCTGTTTTCATAGGAAACATTCAGTAATCCAAGCAGAATTCAAAAACTGCGGTATAGGGAAATCTATTATAGCTGCTCCTGTAATTCTCCTGTAATTTATGCTTAAAACAACTTATCATTGCACAGTGAATGCTGGAGTGCTTAAGATAAAGCATCCATTTCCAAGTTTTTCCTTCAGGATTGTAACTTTTGTGACCCTGTATCATCAATGAAAAACAATTTTGCAAATGTGACTGATCAATAGTTTTAACCAGCTGACTTCTTTTACACATCATCTGAATTGGTCAGACTTATACTAGCCTTTTCGTGTCTTTCAAGCTGGAAATTTAAGTCTGCAGATAGTGCTGCTTAATTTTATCCACGTACATCTGCTGTAATTCTTCTTTTTGGCTTTTTACTTAGGGTATTGTGAAAGTAAGAATAATCAACTCTTTGAATTTGATATTTTCAAAATGTTTCTTCCAGATTTTGGTGGGAAAATGATAACGTTTTCACAGAAGCTCAAAAACATGAACTCAAGAAACACTCATTGTCCCGCGTCATTTGTGATAATACAGGAATTTCTGAAGTGCCAGGAGACGCCTTTCAACTTGGAAAGTTTCCACAGGATTTTAAACATTGTGCCAATATACCTGGGATGAATTTAGAAGCTTGGAAAGAATTTTATCAGGAAGGTAAAATGGTAATTATCTATCTTTTTTGATGGGAGAGGAGAGTAATTAGACAACTGACCTTGATTTTGGCAGGTCTTGAATCACTGGTCTGATGCAGATCTTTGGTATTTCTACCACTTAAAAATGAGATCTAGGTGTTTCCTCCTTTCTCAGCTTCCTCTGTAACAAATATAGTGTTTTTCAACTTCATTCTGATAACATGAATGGATTGTGCAATACTCAGATGTTATGGCAACAGAGTTCTTACATGAAAGAAAACATATGCGCAACATGCTGTTAGAAGATGTTAATTTTACAAAGCTTATAAGCCAAACCTGAGGTATTCCTTATAAATTATAATCATTGTATAAATTATTGTCCAGAAATGAGCAATTACATTCTTGATAACCGTAAAACATATGAGTAATTTAATTTAAATTAATTTGTAGCAGTGATGAAGAATAATGTCGACCGTCATTGTGAGGGTAAAGTGATAATTATTTTGAAGTTTGTAATACAGTCTTTTTATTTGTAGAGGAAATATGTGGAACACCAAAGAGTGTAGAAAATGGTGATTTTGTATACTGTTCAGAAACTGGAAAATCTACAGTGACTTATTCATGTCAATATGGATTTCAATTACAAGGAGAAGAGCAATTAACCTGCACAAGTAAAGGATGGAACTTTGAGGCTCCTGTTTGTATAGGTATATTTTATTTATTTTTTTTCTTGGTGGTGGTTTCGAATTTTCTAAATGCTAAAGTCCAGCACAGCTCATCAGAGGTGAACTCCCTCCTTGTAGTCAACTCCCTCCCTCTTGCAGCCAACTTTCAGGTTTTATAGGTACAATAACATGATAATCTGAAGCTCTCCTTGCTCCAGAATTCCTATCTCAGTCTCTACCCATCCTGATTCATCAATCAAAATGATAGGAAAATGTCACTGAAAATTACCTGATCAAGAAAAATTTAGTCTATTAACAACCAGTTGGAAAAAAAGGTAGTAAATCAGAATTAGATATTGCTTCCACCAACATGCAATATAAAAGCAAGACAAAGAGTGGTCATCCTGGAGAGAGCAGGTGAAAATCAGTAAAAATATATTGTCTTTCAACTTTCATGCACATTTTTGAGCATATGTTTTTCTGTTATTTTAATTATTCTTTTCTTTTTTACTTTTGCCTTATTTTTACTGTTGAATAGAAAATTATAGGAAGAAAAAGAATATTGCAACTATTTTGTTACAAGGCCTTCACTCTTCACAGCTGTGAAGGATGAATTCTTTCTGTTCACATTTTGAAATGTGTGTGCTTTTAATGGTGTGTGTGTATATATATATACGTACATCTACACACACACACTCAAACTGCTCAGCTTTATAAGAACATGAGTTAACATGAAACCTGTAAAGGCCATATTTAGGAATATATTATGGATGGCAGTAAATTAATTTGAATGCAAGTGCTGCAGCTGATCCGCAATAGTCCGCTTATCAGTATTTCTGTGACAGCAGAATAGAAAGCTATTCATTCTAATTGTATACCTGGTATGGAAAAAATCAAATGAAATTTGCAGCTCTTTCCTATATCCAAATCCTATTTATCTACTGAATTCCACCCACATAAATACCATATAAAGAAATAAAGCTGTTAAATGAATTATAATTAAATCTTTTCAATAGATTAATGCCCTGGCAGAAAACTGAATAAATAAGTTATATGAACGAATCATTCCTTGTCCTAGTTTCTTTTAGTATGTTCAGTAATGTAAACAAAAGACTGTATATCTGCTATAGGAAAACAAGCTGCTGCATATATTAAATAAACAATGCCTTTATTAAAAAAAAAGCCATCAAAACCCACTTATGCAGATGCTACTTGAGTTTTACAGCAGAAGGCTCTTTGTTCCATGCATGTCTGTGCAATGTGTTCCCATTCTTTTAAATGTTCAACAAATTAGGAATAAATCAAGCAATATAATAATAAGAATAGACCTTGGCATTTTTGCAGATGGCGTCAAAATTATATGCTGCTCTGGAAAAGACAGAGAGGCCTGCTGGCAAAAGCATAGGAATCTGAGCGCTGTTAATTTCTGCTTACTAACTTTGGCTTTGACAGAAATACTTTCTATTGATTCAAGAAGTCATTCAGAGCTAGACTATGTTACTTTGTTTATATTGTTATCTTACTCCTGATAGATAGCTCTGTTTATTTTGCTTTAATGAAGCACTGCTCTCTTTGAGTCATAGGGCAGGCTGATAAGGTCTGACATGCACTATTTAATGATAGAAAAAATGTTAGCTAGTTAACCACACGACTATGGTTCTACAAAAGCTGAAATAGCATATTTGAATTACAGTGCAGGCAGAGCCTGCGCAGGTTGTCCTTCCAAGATGATAATGAAGCCAATGAGAACTAACCCAAAATATACTCTTGAAGGGAGTAATACTTATGCAGGAATCTTCATTCAGAACAACAACTTGTTTTCCTGCTTCAGAGATGTGTTATTAGAGTTAGTTTTTCTTAAGCATTCTGAAGTTTAAGATTATTCCTTAAATGTTTAATCTTTTGACTGTCTAGCTGATGGCTAGCTTTGGACACAGATGCTGCTTTGTATTAAAATTTAAGAGAGCATCAGCAGTGACAGAATTCCCTAAGTGGTCTGTGTGACAACACTAAACTAAGTCAGAAAATCGTTCCTACAGGGTCTGTTTCTGATACTGATCAAAAAGAGCTACTTTGCCTGAAGTAATAGATCAAACATTGTAGTAGGGAAGGAAAAGAAAGGACTATAACCAAAACCAGAGGACAGTGAAAGCTCAGCTTGTTGCCCACAAATGGGCTTGCAGTGCTTCCAGAAACATGGGTCAGAGACATTAAACAAGCTGGAAAATATTGTATACAACCAATGGGAAAATATCTAAAACAGCACTGGGTGCTTATCTCTAGGCAACTGAATCCAGTCCTGCAAAGCAGTATTACACAGAGAGAAGAAAGATGCAGAAATATGGAAAAGACTCAGTTCTTTCCTTCACTGAATACTTCCACTCCTGCACTCCACACTGTCTCCCATTTCATCGCATAATCAGAATGTGAGAATGAAAGGTTTTGAATGGCCTGAGGAACAATATGTTTATGTACATTTTCCAATGGATAAATGTTCCTCTGCTCAACATTCTGTCAGGATATTGTCATTTCACAGAACTTCTTATATAGCATCTAGAAACAACTGTCTTTGCAGTGATATCACAGATTACTGTTAGAAATTTTGTAACCAAAGCTAATCTGAATCCTTGGTCCTCAGAATCATGCCCAGAAGTAGAGCACAGCATGGGGAAAGCTTATAGAGGAACTCAAAGTGTTAGGATATAAACACATGAAAAAGGTGTTCTCAAGCTTACAGTTTGCATTTTTGAAAACTCCACTAAGTGCTCTTTGTAGCTTTTGGTGAATTACAAAAACAACATCTTCCTTTTTCATATTTTTCAGCTTAAAAATAAATAAAGCAAAACCAAAAACCCTGAACCAGCCAACCAAATAAACAAACAAACAAACAAACAAAAAAGAAAACCCCTCACAAATAAACCCCCAAACAAGCCCTAAGCCCCTCAAACAACCCCTCACTTTGTCCTTTGAACAGTAACAATGAGATTCTTTTTGTCGGTATCTCTGTGTCATTGAAAGCCTACAATATATTTCATTTCAGTACAAGGTGTGTATGATAAGGTGGTAATCCCTCTCTGTAATTTGTAATGACTATTGATTCCTGTGTATTCATTTTGCAGACATCAATGAATGTGAAAATAAAATTAATCCACCATGCTCTCCTTCTGCTAAATGCATTAACACTAAAGGCAGCTACAAGTGTCTCCATACTGAACCTTACAAGCTGGCAGAAGATGGAAGAACATGCATTGGTAATGCTTGTGAACCTACTCTCCATTAAAACTTTCTCTGTTCTGTTTTATAATGCTGTAAAAATCATAAAATTGAGATTTATTGAAGAGTTGTTAACACACGTAAAAAACTACACAGTCATGGGCATAAAGATACAGTCAGATTCTGTAAAGTAAATGAAGGTACTGAATAAATAATACAGACACAGAAGTAAGCTTTTCATTTTCCATTTCTACCATATATAAACTGATAAGTATGTCCTTATAGTGCATATGAAGAGAAGGTCAAATCTGTCTCAGTTTGTCCTGGTTAGTATCTAAACTCAGCATCTAAATTTTAATTAAGGTCTGCCTACTACATTCCAAAACTGTTAATCCTTTTAGAGCTGGCATAAATCATATATTGTGTTTTTCACCTTTTCAGCATGTGTGAAAGCTGTATTGTATCTTGAGGTTTAGGTGGGGAGTATGAGTGTAGCTACCCACTGATGCTGAGCAATCAATACCTGTTCTGGGAAGAAGTGCCTAGATCTGTCAAAAGCCCCATGAAAACCTGCAATCCAAACTCAAGTGGATGGATATCTACTCTGCCGAAGTGCCTAAAGGGAAGCATAGACAATTTAGAGTGCTTAAATCTTACGTATTGAGCACTGCGTGCCCTGAAATCCTGAATTGGCTGAATCTCACTGATGGCACATTTCTTGTTTCCTGTTTCAAATACCTTGGTTATGACATGTGGGATTATGTTGACCTTTGTTATTAACCGCACAAAGAAAACACAGGAGTATAATTCCCCAGAAAAAAAAGAAAATATTAATCTTGTAAACAGACAGACGTCTTCACGAATATGATGTACATCCAGTCAGTTTTCCAGTTGTGGTTCAGTACCACACAATCATATCACTCATATGACACCTCATCCCTCAAACGAAGCCTTAAATGAGTCCATGTGAGATCACCAAAGGCCCAAGAGTGAAGGAAAGTGGGAGACTGCATTAATACAGCTGCACTTGTCATCCCTTTCGGCAGGCACACCATCAAAAGTACCTTCCCAAGAGTGAATGTCACCAGAAGGACCCAGCTTTCTCTTGCTATATCACATGCAAATGCAGATCCTCAGGGTCAACTCTTTCTGGGATAAAACTAAAAATGAATGATGCTGCTCATTTAGAGTTTCATCTTTTAACATATCAGAAAATAGGGAAAAAAAAACAACAAACCACCTTCTTTGTAGGTGTTTCTTATCCTTATTTACTGTTTATTCCTTTACCCATTCAATCATGGTTTCCTTTATTTACCACTCTAAATCCAGAGACAAAAACCTGCCTTCAGATTAGTTTAAAGAGATTAGCTCACTGCTGTTGATTACAACAAAGGCAGATTATATGAAGACACTGCACTGGCATGAATGTAAGGCAGCTCCAAATATAAGGTCAGTTTTATATTTCAAAGGATGAAACAGACAATGCTTACAGTCAGTGATGTAAGTGATCATTATCACGGACCTAGTCAAATGTGCTTTTCAGAGCTCCATTTACTTTCTGATAACTCAAGAGAATGCGCACAGGTACAGCCATCCAGGCCACAGCTGAATGTCTGGCATATAAGTTTAACACCTTCCTTCAGACCTCAGTTTCTAGAAGAGTTTGTCATCTCCATGGGCCCATCCTTGCATGCTACACCAAGATTTGGGTTTTGGGATGTCTAAAGTCTGTCATAATAGCTTCTGGTATGTGGCACATATTGCTTCGTCTTACAGCTTAAATGCTATGGAAGGAAATTTCCATTGACAAATGACTGTCAAAATTTGGCAAGTGATTACCTTGGTCTCCCTTGCATTCTTTTACAGAAATAGTGAGACTTGCTTTACAGTACCTGTGTCATAATGGCCTTTTAAACTGGTTGGTCAGTTTGAAATTGACCAACAACTCTTTAAGTTACTGCAAAGTGTCAGCCATTACTATTAGTTAGAATTTATATTGACAAACTTTTGAAAGACATCACCCTTTTCTTAGATTCAAGAACGATATTGCAGCTATTTTTTACATCATTACCTCTTTACCTCCTCACTAGGAGCCCCTACCCAAATACCATGTGTGAGAGACAATGTTTGAAGATGAAATATTCTAAAAAAAAGTGGTGTCTGAGGCATACATACTGAAGGATTAATGCTAAACCCAAGTTTCAGTGTTATCATTATGCGAAGTGTTACACAGGTATACATTCCTAGGCAAAAAGGAGGAAGAATGAGAAGTCTGTGTGCAGTTATGAGCCTATAACCTCACTGGGATCACAGAAACATGATGGGATAGCTTACACAGTTGAAGGATCAGCTGGGAAAAGGACAGGGTGGAGCATGTTACACTTTTTGTGAAAGAGCAGAAGGATTATGTGGGGCTCTGCTTTGGGATGGGTCAGGAGTCAGTGGAGAAATTACAGGTCAAGATCAGTGAGCAGAGCAATATGGCTGCTGTATTAGAGGGTGTGTGCTATGGACTTCCTTCTCAGGAGCAAGAAGTATATGAGGCCTACCTCAAACAACTGGAAGAACCCTCAAATTCACAGACCCTGGTCCTCATGAGGAATTTTAGCCACACTTTAACCTGGAAGGACAACACAGCAAGACAGAAATTATCTAGGAGATTTCTGGAAAGCACTGACAGCTTCCTGACACAGGTGATTAAGAAGATACTTATGAAAGGTGCCCTGTGAAACCTGATACATGCAAATGGAAGAATCACAGAACTGTTGAGTTCTGAAAGGACCTCTGGAAGTCATCTGGCCCAATCCCTCCTCAAGCAGGGCCATCTAAAGCCAGTTGACCACAACCATGTGCAGACAGCTTTAGAATATCCCCAAGGATGGGAACTCCACAACCTCTTTGGACAAAGCCCAGTGCTCAGTCACCTCTCAGTAACAAATGTTTCCTGATGTTCATATGACACCTCCTGTATATCATATTGTTCCCATTATGTCTTGTCCTGCCACAGGGCACCGGCTCCATCCTCTATGCACCATTCCTTCAGGCATTTAAGCACGTTTATAAGGTTGCCCCCTAGCCTCCTCTTCTCAAGGCTAACCAGTCCCAGCCCTTTCAGCCTTACCTCATAGGACAGATGCACTCTTCATAGCCCTTCACTGGACTCATTCCAGTATCCCCATGTCTCTCTTGCACTGAGGAGCCTAGAACTGCAAACAGGACTCCAGATGATGCCTCACCAGTGCTGAGTAGAAGGGAGGGATGACATTTCTTAACACGCTGGCAATATTTTGCTTAATGAATCCTAATGTACCATTAGCTGTCTTTCCATTAAGGTGGCTCATGTTCAGCTTGGTGTCCATAAGGACCTACAGTTAGTTTTCTGACAAGCTGCTTTCCAACTAGTCATCCACTAGCATGTATGGATACTTGTTTTTTTCTCCCCAGATGCAGGAGTTTACACTTCCTCTTGCTGAATTTTATGAAGTGCCTGTCAGACAGTTTCTTCAGTCTTTTGAGGTCCCTCTGGGTTGCAGCTTGACCATTCTGGCATATCAGCCATTTCTTTCAGTTTTGTGTCATCTACAAACTCTGCCTCATCATCCGGAGTTTTAAGATGTTAAACAGAACTGGACCCACTGTTGACCCCCCTGGGGTACACTGCTAGTTCCTGACCTCCTATTAGACTTTGTTCCACAGGTTACCACACTCTGAGCCTGTTAGATGAGGGAAGTGGATATGGTCTACCTAGACTTTGGTAAGTTTTTTGACACTGTCTCCTATAAGTTCCTCATAGATAAAACATTGATGTATGGGTCAGAGGAGCAGAGAGTAGGTGGACTGAAAACTGGCTGAGCAGCTGGGCACAATGGACTGGCACAGTGGCACAAAGTCCAGCTGGAGGCAAGTCACTGGTGATGTATCCAAGCAGTGATGCTGAGGCCAATTCTATTTAACTTCTTTGTTAATGACCTGCAGGATGGGGCAAAGTAAATCCTCAGTAGTTCACACGTGATACATAACTGGGAGGAGTGATTAGTGTGTGAGACAGAAGTGCTTCCATTTGGAAAATAATGACAGTCTGGAGAATTGATTAGACAGGAACTTCATAAAGTTCAAAGGAGGTGCAAAATCTTGAACCTGGGGAGGAACAACCCCAGGCACTCATGAATGATGGGGAATGAGTACCCAGAAAGCAGCTTGTCAGAAATGGATCTGTCAGTGGACATCAAGTTGGACAAAAGCCAGCAATGCTCTCTTGAAGCTAACAAGGCCAAAAGCATCCTAGGCTGCATTAAGAAGAGCATGGCCAGTAGGTCAAGAGAGGTGGTCAGCACTGGTGAGGCACAGCAGACTGGTGAGTGCTGTGTTCAATAATGAGTATTCCAGGACAAGAGAGGTACAGAATTACTAACTTGAGCTGAGTGAAGAATAATGAAAACAATGAAAGGGCTAGAACTTCTTTCATATGAGCAGTCCTTCAGAGAGCTGGGACTATTCAGTGTGAAAAACAGAAGGCTTGGGGAGGGCCTTGCCAATATGTATAAACGCCTGCTGAAAGGGAATTAAAATACAGACAGACCCTTCTCAGTAATGCCCACTGACAGGAAAAGAGTCAAGGGGTACCAACTAAAAAAGATTAAAAAACCTAAACAAACAAAAATTTTTTACTGTGAATGTGGTCAAGCGTTGGAACAGGTTTACCAGAGAGGCTGTGGAGTCTTCATTCTTGGAGATACTCAAAACCTGACTGGGTATGGTCCTGGGCAACCTGTTGTAGCTGGTCCTGCTTAAACAAGGAGATCTGACTACCTGATCTCTAAAGGTCCCTTCCAACTTCAATGATTCTTTGATCTGGTAATTACGTACAGAGAAAAGGAACACGTTTCTAGCAGTTTTTTACATGGCAAACTGTGCTTTTTCACATACTCGTGTATATAGCTCAATGTCAGTTCTCACATTGCTTCCACTGAGAAAGAAGTAATTAGCTGCTTGACAGTAGATTGCTTCCAAAGATATTTGTATTAACAAGTGAAAGGAGAATGTTACCAACAGTCAACTGTGTTCTGGTTTGTTTAATTTCCATATTAAAAACAAAAACGTTAAAAAATTGCACAAAACAATCTTTTTTTTTTTTTATGTGAG